AAATAATAAAGAAATATAGTGGCAAATAAAGAGTGAAACAATAACAAAAACTGCAAAACATTGTAATAAAAGTTTGGAAATTTTAAACGGCACTATGTACTTCTGTCTAAAGAGAAGAAGATAATGCAGAGGAACCATAATGTGGCAATTCTATAATATTTTAGATGAAATCTCAAAGAAGTACTAACATATTCCCCAAACTAAGGATCACTGTGATAAAACTATTCCAATAGAATATAATATAAACTTTGCAGATATCCATATTGAAGGGACAAAAGAGCATAGAGCTCAAACACATGTAACACAGAGGAGCATAAAAAATCAAGAACATAACGAATTAATAAAAACATTTAGGCGACAATTAAATAATGTCCCAGAGTAAACAGTACACACTCAGAGAGAAGATCAAATACAGAGCCTTCATAAATGTTTACAAGCCATGTGACCCCCGAGCTTAGGCAACCCAACATTGCATGACTAGTACTGGTACTCGAAAAATCCCTAAATCTTGGTGTCACCAATATGTATTGATGATTCGTTTACAATAAACAGTAACAAACCATTATGCCCACGCTTGAGATAATACAATCGCTGATTGGTTGAATAGAATTTCCGAAAAAGTGCACTAATCACATCACTGTGAAGCAGAATGTTGTGTTTTAATGTAATCTTGGTCTTATTGTTTTAATAATTTTTAATTTTATTGAAATTTCATTGCCAATATGAAGGAAATAAAATTACTGTTCCAAACAAAATTACTGGTCATGTGGCTTGTAATCATTTATGAAGGCTCTGTACAACACAGTGAAGAGACAGAAGCATATAGGCTACAATCAAACAACGGCTCATCAACGATGAAAAAAGAGTCCAAAAAAGAAGAAGAAATGGAGACCTGAAGAGACTATTGAAGCAAACTAATGGAAGTCAAAAGGCCATCGAGGATAATATTAATCATTTAATAAATACAATAGAGGAATAAAATGAAATTCAAATATAGAGGAATAGCCGGTTTAAACAATATATAAAAAAAGACAAATGAGAAAAACTAAGACTGAAATATAAAAAAATATTTGTAAAATTAAAATTACTATTCTTTAGGTGATAAATTCCTTTCTAAATGGCTTGTAAAATTTTCTGTAATTAAATATTTAATATTTCTATAAATTTATTCACATATTTCTATTTCTCCTTTGAGAATAAATTTTTCAAATGTGAGTTTTATATTTTTAAGGAAAGGGATAAAGCACAAGTAAGCTTTAAACAAAGTTAGACCACTAGCACTTGCAATGTCATCTTTTTGTTCCTATAAAATAATTTTTGGACCATATATTTGTTAGTTGTTTTAAAGCAACTGTTTTGTAAGTTTTATTTGTGTTTTTAAATATAAATAAATTTCATTTTCAATTGCAATTAGCTCTTATTTAGTTGGAATCTGATAGATTAGGTGGACATTTTTAAGTAGAAAATTAATCACATCGATTTCTTCTTTTGCCATTCCAAATCCCTTGTCTTACCGGCCTATACTTACCGTGTTATAAAATCATTAGTGTCAATGCAAAGAAAAATATTCTTTATGACTAGAAAGTAAGTAGATTAAAATACTTGCTTGTAGATATTGAATAAAATGGAGATTAAAATACTTAAAATTATATATTTCCATTTCTCAATTATTATCTTTTAACCGATATGCATAAATAAATGCCAAAAGTTGCAACAGAAACTTGGCAACAGCGCACGAGTATGTCGAGTTTATTATTTTTAAGTTGGCATTCTTGTCATGTATATGGGTATGCATTATGCTATGTGATAGCTGGCACAGCTCATTGCTTTAACTTCTAATATGTCAGATGAAGAACAGAGTCCGTAGAAAGGAAAATTTGTGACCTAAAGAAAATATGCGTGCTTGAGAATTATAACAGAAAATAGTAATAGTAATAGCATGTTTATTAGTCCAACAGGAACAAACCCAATTACAGGACATTACGGAAATAATACATACAAACAAAATGTAAAATTAAAAAAGAAAGTACAATAATACAAGGAGCATACATAAAAAATAGTTAAAAAAATAAATTATAAAAAGTTATAAGCGCAGATTTTAGGCAGCTGTTGTAAACTTGAAATAACAACAGCAGGAAAAATTATGTTGAAGAGAAGATTGTGGAGCCAGAACCTCCGGACACCATTCGAAGGCATTAACTAGTCGACATAGTGTATATGGCACAAAGCATGAATTGCTCTTTTTGCAAAGAACTTTTACTTATTTTAGATTATCTACGAACTGTGATCACAAATTTAAATATGATTTAGTTACATGCATAAGTAGCACACTAGTATGATGCACATATGTGAGTACATAATTATGTTCCTTATAAGACAAGGGTTTAAAGCAATTGAATTTATAATACAATTTAATATATGTGGTATTATACTGTGATACGATGTTATTGCAGCCAACAATATTCTAAAGATTATACTGAAATTATTGAAATAATTTTAAAATGAAAAAAGATATTAATAATAATTTAATCAAATAATTTATCAAAATGCATAAGATTGGCACTGTGATGCAGAGAATAAATATTTCATTGTTTATATTAGAGATGTGCCGCGGACTTGTCAGCTGGACATGTCCATCGGACATGTTGTTAAAAGTGAACAGGTCCTGAGGACACTTTTCAAGATTGAAAAGTTGTATGCGCATGCGCGGAATTATTTGTTGCTTTCATAATTCCCGCAAAAAATTTTTGAGGTTGGTACATGTAAAATGAAAGATATTTAGCCATTTTCTCGTAATTTTGTTGGTAATTGTTTAACTGAAACTGACATTTTAAAAATATAACCTCTTTTATATGTCCATATTTTATTATTTTTGGCAAAGTTAACGATTATTAAATAGTAATCAGTTGATTCTTAATTTAATATTTAATACACACATAGTTTATAAATGAAGTGTGACGCCAAAATCAACAGTTTGGTTATATTTTTCTGAATTGAGTAAAAATCATAAATGTAACTTCTGCTGAAAAACAATTTTTAAGAATTCCAGTAGGATGGAAAAACAATTTCACATAATTCTATGTTTTATATTAGACAAAAATGAAATATTAATCAAAAATATAATAAACAATAAATAATATTTAATAAGACACATATTCATTAGCACAAATTGCTTTGTATACCCTCAAGTAGTGACCTGTGAAAACATGACGTCACTCAGGTGCCTTATTCAAGGTCAAAAGTACTTTTCCCAACATGTACGGACATGTCTGTAACGCACTTTACCGAAATGTGCCCATCTCTAGTTTATATATATGCTGCTGTATTTTTTTACTTGTATTGATTGTTTATCGTACTTTATAAATAAAAAAGATTTTAAAAAATATATTTTATTTGAAAATTTCCATTTTATTTTATTATTCCAAATTGAATTACACAAATAAACACAAGTTGAATGTAAACCATTTCTAATGAATAATTTGTGTATTACTTGTATTGATAGTTTATCATACTTTATAAATAAAAAAGATTAAAAAAAACATATTTTATTTGAATATTTCCATTTTATTTTATTAATCCAAATTGAATTTACACAAATAAACACAAGTTGAATGTAATCCATTTCTAATGACTAATTTGTATATCGAAACGTTTATTTAAATTTCCCGCCACCTATCCCCATTCGTACTCTCTTGCGCTGTTGCCGTTACTCCTTCGCGTTTATTACTTGGCAGACCACAAGTCAGAAATTTTTATGTTCGTTAATTTATTTTTCTGGTAACCTACTATTTTCTTTCATCTATTAATTAATGATTCAAATAAATGTTTATTTTTTTCGTCTTACCATTTGCATTTATTCACCCGTAATTTGATTGTAAGGGTATGCATCATAGAATTTCCCATAAGAATCTATGTTAAATATTCAAATCTTTGGAATTCATTAAAAACAAACATAAATCGATAAATAATTCGAGAATAATTCACAGAATTTGATTTCGCATTGCAAAAATATGTATCTCAATAATGCGGAATTGGCTATATTTTCTCGTAGCATCCGATCCTCCTTAAAAGACTGATGTCATCCAGCTAAAAGCCGTCTACTGTTTTTAATGCACACATTTGATGCACTTCCCGGCAATGCGCTTTTTCACTTGATAACAATAATTGCACCAGTAAAATTTGACAGCAATTTTGGTGTTTGAAATTTGTGTCATCAAAATGTCAATTTCAGTTGTAACTTCAGCAGACTAGGGCTTCCGGTAGTGAGTCTGCCCAAAAATTTTGACGTTTGTAAGCCGTCAGGATTCAGAGCACATTGCGATCGATACCCTCAAATCTGACAAATTGCGCATTTTACTTTAGTATTTATTACTTTTATTACCGTATTATAACAGTTGAAACAACAGATTGCCTCTTTTTGAGGCACAGTTTCTTAGTTTTATGGATCTTGACCGCACTGCTCCCTGACAGCGAATGGCCTAATTTCTGAAATTATGGACAATGTCAACAATTTGACGGAACATCTTATCCTGTATATCTACTGGCTAAGGAAGTGAAAGGTAATTCTGTAACTGGCAGCGACCAAATACAGAGGCTACGATATAACAACTTGAAAAAACATTATACTTTAAATATGTATTGTTATTGTTCAATTTTTAATGCTGTAAACGCCTTTGACAATTTCTTTTAGATAAATAGAAACTTCAGTTACTTGATACATACTAAACATTTTCATAAGAAACTGCTCGAATTGACATTTGCTTTCTTATTTCAGTTTGGCATCATATTTTAGAAACATTCTGTATATGCTTCTGCATTGTGATATTAAATGTTATGTTCATATTGTACTACTATTGCGAATTATTTATTTATCAGAGCCCATTTTTTAAATAATATTACAGTCGTGCAAATACATACAGAAAAAAAATATTAGGTATATAATTTATTATATTTTTATTTTTATAAGTGTTTAGAAAGTTTAATATTTAAAATTGTTATAGATTCACTGAAGAAGCTGTCAGCAATAAGGTAAATAACTATAGGAACATGCTGATGGGACAAGGAGGAAAATTGGATAAGCCAGTTGATCAGTGGGGCAGACCTTGGTAAGTTTTTATTCAAATATATTGTTTCCACCACTGTTAATTTAAGTTTATTTAGTTGGTGTAAGAAAATACCAAAAAATCACTAAGACCCTAGATCAAATGGAATTCGGGGATATTCACAATTTGTAGTCTGTTTATATCTGTCATTTGTACATTTTAGAAGTATTTACCAGGATTACTGTGTTTACCTGCACAATAATCTTTGTCTGTTGAGTAATACAAAGTTCTATTCAGAACTGCGAAAAATCCGTGGTGCTTTTTATACTTATCATTACGTATAACATACAGTGTTCCACTTTGAGCAGCATCACTCTTGTTTTTTGAAATGTGTGGGTCGATTATCAAGATTTTTATTATTTCAACATATTCCATCATCATATGTAATTTTGTTTCTACTTTAATTTTATGGCCAAGTACCCTAAAGAAATTTTCCAAAAATTAGAAAGTTGTATTAAACATTTTTTATTACTTTCCCTGTGGCAATTATTTACCATGTTATGTGCGGAGGTGGCATTGTTATTGTTATTACACATAAGTAAATTTTTGTACACTAATTTAAATTAGGATAGTTATAACAGAGATTGATAGTCACTAGTGTGTTTTTTTATGGTGTGCATATGCGTGCTGATTGGATTTAACATTATATTAATGAATTACTACATTGTGTCTAAGTAAACAAAACTTTTTTTAGTTTATCTAAATCTGGAGAAGGTTCTTTCTAACTTGTTTATTATAATATTTTTTTGATATTGAAACCTCTCAGAACCTCCTGATTTCGGTGCCATCGATTAGCATTTGTTCGAATTTTATAAGTAGCTGACTAGAAAGGCAGGCAAACGCGGAGTTTGGCCTTTCTCTCGGGCCTTCGGCCCTCGGGGCCGCGCTGCTTTCCTCGCCGGTTAGTAGTTATAACATTTTTTAAACACCCTGTACTTTGATTTTTAAGCACCCTGTATATAAAAGTATGATGAGAATGTTTTTCAAAAAAGAGTAGGCCCCGCTCGAGAAAATAATAAGAAAAGTTTCTTCCAAACTTCCAAAAAAGGCATCTGGTTAATAAATATAAAATTTTTCATCCAAAGACTACGTAGTAAGGCAGAAATGGTAAAAAATAAGTTTAGACATCTGGTTAACAAATACTTACACAAATTTTCATTAAAAGACTGTAGTAAATAGCGACACAGCTAAAAGTGAAAAGAAACAAAACTGCCCTTAATTCTATAGAACATCTAGTATATGGATTTTTTAAAAAGCGACTTTTCTTCAAAAGATTTAAAGAAAAAATTAATAAAATGAATAAGGAAAAATGTAGCCCACCTGTGTAAGTTTTACGAAACATCCTGTACATAAATTGCAAAAAACACCTGGTTGGTAGGGTATAAGGTTTTTCATAAAAATATTGCAGACCAGTACAAAATATAGAAAAGGAAAAAACAGTAAGGAAAGTTTCATTCTATTCATAATTTTAATCTGCATCAGTATTGTGGAATACTCAGTATAAAAATTCAAAAAGACAACTGGTTAATAAGTATACAATTTCTCATTAAAAGACTTTAGTAAATAAAGACAAAGTTAAAAGTGAAAAGGAAAAAAATTGCCCGTTTCAGATGTGGATCAATTTTACCCAGTACGTATATGGATTTTCTAAAAAGCATCTGGTCAGTAAATATACAACTTTTCTTCAAAAGATTTAATGAAAAAATTAACAAAATGAATAAGAGAAAATCTGGTCCACCTGTGTCAGTTTTATGAAACATCCTGTACATATGAATTGCAAAAAACATTTTGTTAATAAGACACCGTGTGTAGAAATATCTATTTGAAAATTTAGGTAGGTAGTGAAATGAGAAAAAAATCCTAGTTCGCCTGTGTCGTTTTTATGAAACACTTAGTATATAAATTTGCAAAATGCCTCCGAGTTCTACAATATAAGACTTTTCATAAAAATATTGCCACAATAAATTTCTGAAATATACAGAAGCCGCTAGACCGATAATTTTGACTTGGGTCAATTATGTAGAACATGCAGTATATGGATTTTCAAAAAACCCTTTGGTTAGTAACTATATAACTTTTCATGAAAAGATTTCAAAAAAAAATTAGGAAAAGTGAAAATATAAGTAAAATCAATGTTCACCTGTGTCATTTTTATGAAACATTCGGTACATACCTTTGCAAAAAGCATATGATTACTACTATACAGTGCGTCCCAGAAGTAACGCAAAAAATTCATATTTTATTTTGTGTTGAGTTTTCACTAAAACGCTAAAATACGTCAATTAGTAAATTAGAATTGTCGTTTTGTCACGTTGCTTAAACCTTTTTTGCGCTATGTTTCATAAACCTATGACGTCATCGACATTTTTTTTAAATAGCACCACCTAATTTTTTAAGCATAAATGGATAGCCCTTTTGAATGGAAATGCGTCGATATAGGGTTTGACCTACTTTAGTTTAACAGGAGCGAAAAAAAGCCAACGATTGAAATGAACATGGTTTGAATTAATAACAAAAATAGGTATCACAAACTTATGCGCGAACAGTGCTATAGCAAAAAATCTGTTTTGGTTGATTGTTGGCACATGTTTTTATATAGATTGGGTAGGTACACCCGATCACAGTGGCTATGTAGGCATTGTTCTGAAGACGACAGTTAGCGAATACAATAGTGCCTCATATCATTGTCACAGTTACAAATACCATAACTTTACATTACGATGGTGTTGTGTTTAAATGAGAAACAAAGAACTGAAATCCTAATTATGGTTGAATACGGAGATATAGAATCCGTAGTTATGATGAAATATGTCAATTATTCAATGCCAAGTATCCAGAACAACCAATACCTCCGTGTACAGTATGCAGATTAGTACCCAAATTTGAAGACGCTGGCCATGTTAGAAATGTGTCTAGATCTAGAAGGCCAACGACAATGACAGAAAATGATAGGCAAAATGTTATGTTTAGCTGTCACTGAAAATCCACACATTGCCATTCGTCGTATCGCCGCAAACGCCAATATATCAGTACATAAAAACGTACCTACAATCAACCAAAACACAAAACATCCCCAAATTTCCATTTTATACTGTGGCACTGTTTCGCATCAGTTTATGATACCTACTTTTGTTGTTATTTTAAACCATGTCCATTCCAGTCATTGGCTTTTTTTTCCGCTCCTGTCAAAGTAAAGTAGGCCAAACCATATATCGACGTATTTCCCTTCAAAAGGACTATCCATTTATGCTTAAAAAATTAGGTGGGGCTATTTAAAAAAAATGTCGATGACGTCATAGGTTTATGAAACATAGCGCAAAAAAGGTTTAAGCAATGTGACAAAACGACAATTCTAATTTACTAATTGAGTGTTTTAGCGTTTTTGTGAAAACTCAGCAGAAAATGAAATATGAATTTTTTGCGTTACTTCTGGGATGCACTGTATAATATTTTTCATAAAAATATTGCAATCGATAAACTGAAATAATATATAGGAGCCTCTGGACCGTTCGAGTTTCAACGCAATTATTTAGACAGCCTGTATATAAAAACCTATTTGAAATTTTATATTTTTTTGTTATAGAAAGGTTTAAAAAGATGAATTCATATATAAAATTAAATTAGATCCACAATGAGATAACACAGATAAATGACATTCCATGACTTGGAAGAGTAGTTTAGCCCATATGAGTAACTAAATAAGAGTGTTTATTTCCTTGTCTTTTATTGGAAGCATCACTTGCTCCAGACGCAACTGGCGCCATCTTACATCCGGCCTGTGAACAAATAGCAGCTGGAACACAAAACAGAAACTGCAGTGACCGTGCTAGCCGTCTTTGGTTTGAGAATGTAGTTAAAAAACTATGCAATAGATGTCGCTTTATTACGCTGCACATGGCGGCAAATTTAAATATACCATAATATTCAGAGTGCAACTTATATATGGAATAAAATTCATATTCATCGACTACAAAGCTTCGTAAAAAAATATCAGTTCTAATGTAAAAATTGACCAGATTTTTTTTACAAAATTATGTAGTCAATGACATGAATTTCATTTCATGTTTCATGTAAGTTACACACAATAATGGTATAAAAGATTGACTTTTTTAGTAGGTATATCCATTTAAGAGGCTATTATTGTTTTCACTTTTTAAACAATGACTAAAAAATGCATAAGCAGTTGTTTTTTAAATGCATTATTCTGTTATAAATAGGAAAAGAAGATAATTACTAGTAATTAATAGTGATTACTGTGATACAAAATAGACATATACTTACCTTTCCCCTCTTTATGAAAAATATTGTTAAATACATTTGTTTCAAACTATATTGGTTCTCATCAGTACGATGCATGTACTACTGATTATTATTTTCTGCGAAAATTTAAATACTGATAGTATGAGTAACAAATATCAGTAGAAACGTAGACATATGTATCTACCATTACTTAAAAAGAAACTTAATATTCATTAAAAAATCCAAAAATCCGTTTTTTGTTGTCTACTATTCGACATACAAGTGAAGTTTTGACAAAATGAAGTATTATGTGAAGTACTTACACAACCAGTATTTGAATCTACTTCATCCGGCACCTAGATAAGTGATGATCCGGCATGGTATCGTTAACAATAACAGTACTAGTACTTGCAGTGGTATTTAGAGATGGCAATTTGGAATAAGTGTATTTTGGTTTTTTAAATGGTGGTTCTGGAAAATCATCTAACATTGATGTTTGGCATTTATTAATTTCGGCATTTTCTAATGTTTCACTAACAAACTGTTTAACTGACTCTAGAGTAGTTTTCAAATAAACGTTACTATTAAGAGAATCTAAATGTGATGATATACTATTTGATTCACTAAATATTGTTGGCACTGCATTTTTGTTGAGGCTATTCTTCCTACTATTTCTAACATTTTTCGTTGATGAAGTTAAAATCTGGTTTACATTCTATCCAAATCATTTTCCTGTCTGCACTCTGCAGTAACTCTGAAAAAGC